CGTAGTAGGATCCGTTCGTTATAGCATACCCCACTGTATGGATAACACACTCACTTCTTATACAACTTAACACAATTTAACCTTCCTTATCCATGTTGTATAAGGGGGGGGGGTGTATAGCACTACCTTTGAGGGCACACACACAAAACACATAAAAATAAATAATATATAATGGGAAAATTCTCTAACAAATAATCTGAAACAAGACAACAAAATATATTAAAAAATGTGAGTCGACCCTCAAGTCAACTCTGTGCTTAGTTATTAAAGTTAACTTTAATAGCTAAGCCCGGAGTCGACTCTCACATTTTTAATGCATTTTGTTGTCTTGTTTCTGATTATTTGTGAGAGGACTTTCCCATTATTATTTATTTTTATGTGTTTTGTGTGTGTCTGTGTCTACACACACACACACACACACACACATATACAATATAGACAAAAAAGAAATAATTGTCCTAAGGTAGCAGGCAGCTACCAAACAGGGAGGTACTACCGCCTGGGAAGATATTGGAAGCATAATGTGTTGTCTAATGGTAGACCCTGCTGCCATATGGCATCACGAAAATTGTGACCAAGTCCTAGGTTGCTGATCTGACTTTCTGCCTCATTTACACACAATTGCAGGGTCTCAATTGTTTCTCTTGCTATTGACAATACAACATACAAACTGTATATCGTTTCTCACTAATGATCTTTTTTTTTAATTTCTTTATGGTTCCTTATTATTATTATTATTATGATTATTATTATTGCAGTGTTTTCATTATTATTATTGTTATCATTATTATTTTTTTTTATTTATTTTTTTTTATTATAAATTTTACTTATCTGAAATATTATTATTATTATTATTATTATTATTATTATTATTATTATGATGATGATGATGATTATGTTTTCGCCCCCCCAGGCCCTGATGTGGGTCGGTGACCTGTGTCCGGGTGGGCTAATACCCGTGTAAAAAAAAAAAAAAACAGAATATACCTTTCTTTGTATATGAGTAAAAAAGTAACCCCCCCCCGGTCAACAAATGTTGTTCGCAGCCATTTGGAGAACCTAACCCTCTCAAATTTTAAGGGCATGCTGTACTGTAAACACTAAGGAAATATATATTTTTATGTGTGTGAGCAGTACTGTATTTTGTCACTGAAACTCTGAAATAATAACAGTTATGAATGTACCCACATAACAATCACTGAAGGTAGTTCCAGAACAGGATATATGACTGAGATGAAACAATATAAGCAGCTGTAAGGTAAAGGTTACTGTAGAAAGGTACTGTACTTCAGAATAAAGGATACTGTATCTATTGTAGGTATACATACTACAGTAGATCAGTGACAGAACATCAGAAAGGTGGATTGCTGTGTTTATTATTCACCTTATCTGCTGCTGATGAACATATAAATTTTCTACACAAAGCCAAAAATATATATATAAAGTAGCAGAAGAATGTTGCCATCATGAGAGACACTTACAAGTTTAAACACATGTGACAGACCAACAAGTAGACCAGAGAAAATAACTAACCAATCACTTGCATGTTTAGAACAATACAAACAATCTTGACTCTTACTTTTTGTCCTCCTCAGCTTTTGCTATGTGGCCAAATATATGGGCAAAAGAGTTTGGAATGATTCCCTTGAGCTCTGACACTGATCTGACTCCTTCCATGGTGTACGTCTTGCCAGTGCCCGTCTGTCCATAAGCAAATATCGTCCCATTGTATCCTTCTAGCACATTCTCTACTATGGGACGCGCTGCTAGATTATATACATCAACCTGGAAAATTAAGTAAATTTTTGTTACTTAGAATTCTTATGACCCAGAAAATATAGTACCTGTACAGCTTGTTCACTAGATGAAGAGTCAAATATTTGGAGTCCAGCTAATATACAAGTTTTCCAGTATCCAGGTGAAGAAAACAGGTATGGCATTAATGGATTGTAATGCTTGTAAGAGTTCAGAAATGGTTACTACTTAGCTGCCTTTGAAGAAATGGGTGTCTGCCATACGGACGTTAATTGTCTCAGGTTATCGTTATCAGTACAGACTAGTTATAGATCGACCTTTTATATTTACAATAATTATTTTTTAATAAATTTAAAATAATAATAGTGTGTTTAAGTAAGCAATAACATATTTTTAATTCTGGAGTTGGTTAGGTAGAATTTAGCCTACTGGAGACAGCAACTGGGGAATTCATTAGCTTACAGGAGACTGCAACTTCACATATAGGACAAAAGCTGATTTTTTTTGGCCATTTTTCAGACCAAAAAGTGTCTTATATGCCATAAAATAAGGTGAGTACTAGAGGGTGAGTATCTGTTCATAATGTTACATTACTCATAAGGAAATAGAAGACTGATCCTGAAACCTTATTTACTAGTTAAGTCCTGAGCCAAGTAGCTCAGGTTAATGAACAACCTGTTTTGATGGTTTCCTTTACACAACACTCACAACTGGCAGGTGGGGCTGTTCATCTCTGCTGTAAATTCTTTCTTAAAAGGGTGGACTGAGAGCAAGGGTTTACAATTAGTGGGATTTATTGCTTTTATATTCTAATTACTGTCATCATATTATAAAGTACATAGTTTCTAAATTCAGTGTATTGTCGCCTTGTCTTTATATAATATAGTTCCTTTAACTAAAAATTGTAAGGCCAAAAATTTGCCTTTGAAATATACTATAATTCCAAATACTGTCTCATTATCTTGGTGATGGAAGCAAATCTAAAACTCACTGCTGAAAGGATTAAAAAATTCATGTTATTGTGACCAAAGTTTCAACACTAACACAGCTACAACAGAAGCACAATGTAGTACTGTAATGGATGCCTGAGAATTTATTTTTAATACACATAACATTTGGAGAGAAACTTTATAATTACAGTACAGTTCAGTACTATAAGATTTTTTCAATATATACCGTACCATATAAATGTGAACTGAAAATAAGTGTGAAATTTCCTACACTTACAAAGACTAATAATGAGTTGTGTCAGTTATCTTCCTACCTGTTTAGAGTCTTGGCCAAACACAGAGTCAAAGGTGAATACTTTGGGTGGTTCACCAGCCTGGGCATCAGGGTTGGTCACCAGAAGGGAGCAGTTTAGATCATCACACTCCACCATGCTTTTATAACCTGCTTTAGTTTCTTGATCACTCAGAGGACGAACTCGTACTACAACTCGAACATTTTCTCGGTCCTTTAGAGTTGTCTCTCTATCCTTGTCGGGCTGTAAAATATAATGTCACATAAACAATATGCAGCCTAGAGAAATATAAATGTGAGTAGAGTAGAGTAGAGTAGAGTAGAGTAGAGTAGGGTAGGGTACAGTATATAAGCACTGGACAAATAGCAAGGTGTGCACAACATGGTAAATGTTAGATGAGTAATGCATTTTTTTTTCAATCTACTATGTAAATAACAATAGGAAAAAAGGTTTACATGCAAAGAATCAATCGCCCCCTAAATTATAATACAGGCAAACCCCATTATTCATAGCCTCGGTATTCATAACCCCGTTTATCTGCAATCAATTTATTGTTACCCATTTCCACTATTCGCAATGGTTGCCCCGTTTATTCGCAAATTCATACGAGCAAAAATTTTGAGCCGCCCCTCAACTGTAGCGTAGGACAGCGTGTGTATGTATTCCTCCGCCATACCCTCCCGCTCGCCTCAGTCTCACACGTGCTGGTGTGTGTTTTGTGTGATCTCACAATGCCTAAGCGACCAGCTAAACTCCCAGCAATGTTGCTTAGAGATCACGTGTGGCAGTTACGTCGGACGTGAAATTGGATATCGTAAAAAGTCATTAACACGGAGGAGGAACGTCGGTGATTGGGGGCGTGTACGGCTTGGCTCCCTCTACGGTGCATTCTATAGTCAAAAGCGCCGACAAGATCATGGAGATGGCCGGATCTGCAACACCACTGACGGCTACGAAGGTGACGAGGTTCCGTGATGTCTACGTTTAAAACTTACCTCACACATCTTTGGAATGTGTATTCAAGAAAAATATCTGGTAGTTCAGCCAGACTAAACAATGTGTAGCAGCACTACCATGGGGTGAGTGTCCTTTCTTCTTACGGTTCTTTGCTTTAGCCACAACCAATATGCAGACCAACCAAAGGCCTGCCAGATGTTCCCTATTCTATTCAATATTATAACCAGTAGTTCTATACTGTTCCCCATTCTCTCCCTACTTCTCCTTCAGGTAAACTTGCTGATGGAACTCTTAGTAAAAGTCAATGGTGATCACCTTACTCAAAGGACTGCCACACATCATTTAGAATTGACATGGTACAGTATGTTCTGCTGACAATAATAGCCAGCAGTGTGTGTGTGTGTGTGTGTGTGTGTGTGTGTGTGTGTGTGTGTGTGTGTGCACAGGGTGGTGTAATGCATCTACTGTGGCAGCATTGTGTTAAGGCCTGTCCACACGATCGAGCAGTGCCCGGCAGGCACGCGCATTTAAAATTGGCAGGCAAACCAGCGGAGTGCCCGTGCCCGGCGTCGAGCGAAATCATGGTCCGCCTGCCTGGTGGACAGATGACCGGTGAAAATAGAATCCATGCTCAGAAACTTATTTTTGAGGTTCTTTATCTGGGGAAACTAGGCAGGCTTTCCTCATCAACAATGATTATATAAGAGTACTCTATTGATTAAGGGTGTTGGATAATTTCAACTATCGTTATGTCCTTAGTGGCAAACACACAATGATAATTGTGTGCTGTTAAACCTGGTACTGTGGTCATTTATTTTTTTTTATTTACGTATATGCATGTAGGTATATAATTTTTTATTGACATGTCTTAAAATCTTTAATTGCATACTACATATGTTGGGGTGTATGTAATTATTATGTGAAATAAAGTTTGTCTTTATACAAGTTGTGTCAATCATCAATTTCTTATTTGCAAAAAACCTAGTGTCCCAAACAGGTCCATCATGTATCACATATGTATGGCAGGGTTACCCCCTTCACAAATACTAATATGTTTTAATATCATTTTCATTATTGATAATTAATCGATAAAACCGGAAAACTGACATTCCTATAATATTGTCATTAATACTCAACATTACACAAGCCTGCAATACAAGACACGTGTTATTATTGGAACCTCACGTGACTGTCAAAAACAGCTGATCACTACGCCACCGCTGACCTCGGGGGTCGGGTCCTCAAGTCGGTGAGGTATGAACGGAGATACTGACAGAACATATGCTAGCACTTTGTGAAACCTGAGTTAAGTACTGCAAATGTGATACGTACAGTTTATGTTCCCCGGTCGGTCCAGATGTCCAGTGTATAACCAAATAAGCTTAATGCAATGTACATTATTGGCGTGACAATAAACGGGAGATTGTTTATGTATTATGTAATGAGGACATTCGTGTGTGTTCTTCGTTCCTGCCGCTCTCCTCACTCTAGTCCCATAGCTTCCTGTCTATGCACATCATAATTCTAACATAATTCAATGAATTTTTTATGTACTACAAATCTCACCTGCAAGTAATCTTCCTTGAGTACTTCATACATGGCTTGACAAGTTGCAGGTATTATGCGAGACAAACTTTGTTTTGATATCCTCGCTCTATACTGAAGTGACGTGTAGGTGCACCCAGTTGAAAGACATATGAGCGTTGTCTAAACGAGCCTCCGCAGATATACTCTCCCTCATATTGGTATCCTGTTTTTTTATATATGGTTCCATTTTCGCTAGAAGTTTGTAAAAGGTGTTGGGGTCCATTCTCATGTAATTGGTGAAGTCTTGCTCACGTCCATCTTGCAGTTCACGTAAAATCGTGGCATGACTTCCCAATACTTTTCTTTGGCCTAACCACTCTTTACACCATTCCCTTTTCTGCATTTGGTTCTTCTTTTTGCACGTAGCAGCAATTATTATAGTACACAACGCTATGCTCTTCAGTGACCACCTACTAGCACCCGCCACTGCCGACCACCTACTAGCTACTGGCGCCTGATTATGACTGCCGCCAACCACCCCCGTGTGTACAACAACGCACAGGCTTTGCCCGGTAAACGGGCAAAGCCCGCCGGGCACTGTTCGATCGTGTGGACGGGGCTTTAGTGTTAAGGTGCAAGCACTGCTTGCTCCCTCTCACCTTCAGTTGCCGCCGCTGGCACTCCCTCGTGGTGAAAAGGGAAGCAACTTGCATAAGTCTTCCCCTGCCAGTACACAGCCTCCTCACCATCAAGACTCCTGCTGTGCCTCCTCGTGGCAACACACAGTAACTGGGTGCCTCGTGGGCCTAGGATAGACCAGCAGGGGATCTCGGAGTAGCAGTGGGCCCCAGAGGGACAGCGCATAGGTCCACTGGCATGTGAACATGTCCTGGCACCTACCAACCACTGCCCCCGCTGCCTTGCGGATAAACCTTGGTAGGTATGAGGCCAAGGGAGTAAACCCCGAACGAAAAATCTGAGGTGGAGCCCCACATCAAGCAGACATGCTTACAGAGCTCCAACAAGACCCCAACGGCAGTATACAGTATAGGCGGAAGAGGTGACCACCATGGGAGCCCAATGACTACACCGGCGGACGAAGGCAATGCATGATGGACAGGCTACTAAGGCGAAACCCAACAAACTGGGCTATCGGCAATCCATTGCAACTCTCATCATTGCAACACTTACACCACTGGATCAGGAAAAGGGAGAGCCAAGATGTGTGGTTGCAGTCTGCGCTCTTGCCTCACCACATAAATCAGCTCACACGCAGCCATCATCCAGCTCATCATATTCCTCATCATCAAAACCCTTATACCCCCCCAAAAGTCCTATGCGATGGGCGAGTGGTAACGGGAACAGGCAGAGATGACTGCCAGAAGTCTCTAATCACAACTCTGCACATGGGTGGCATAGATAAGACAAGTGATCGCGCAGTGAAAGTTTGAACGCTCGTGCTTGGCTAGCGTACAGCGAATGAGGGTGCGCCAAGTCCATAGACTTGCATGGTTAATTAGGGTGCACCAAGTCCGTAGACTTGCATCGTTTTCCATCGTAAATAAAATGGTTAATTAATGCTTTCCTAAAGAAACCATCGACATGGGACCAGGTTTATTCCACTATGAATTTTTTGCGATTTTTCCACCAAGTTTGATGAAAAACGATTGTGCCGTTTCGGCTGCCCAGAACAGACACACAGACGGACAGCTAGTCCTATAGTATATTAGATGGTCGTTTATACACTGGGATCTAGGCAGCAGTGCAATTCGATCCTGTCTGTGTGACTAAGCAGCCCTTTCGATGAGCCATTCTGCTCACCTCAGGAGCTACTTTACAGTCACCTAAGAAATAATAAACAACACTTGCAGGCAACTGAAAAGGCATAAGGTTAGTCTTAAGACAAACCTGAAAAAGTGCCAAATCGACCCCCTCACCTGGGAGACGATTACTCCACACTGTAACACTGGGAGGAGCACCACATAAGAAGGTGTCAATACTTTTGAGTTAGGCAGACTGCATACCATGGCAGATAAGTTCCAATGCACGAAAAATGCTGCCGCCTCCCTCCCTCACTAAATGTAGCCCTCCACACATGTGCAACATGTGAGGACGACCCTGCCAGTCCCGTATCAGCCTCTCTAGTCACCCCAGCGCTCACCAATGAATGCTACATGCAGATGGTTGGAGAGTCATTCTCAGCACTAACAAGTTTGACCGTAACAAGTGATCTCTGCACTGCCATTGCCCTCCTTGCAAGAAAGCTGGCATCCTCGTGTTGCCAACACCTCCATGCTCTGATGGCCTGCCGCCTCATTCCCCTGGATAAGAATCCAGGATGCAGGCCTATAGGGGTGGGGGAAGTGCTGAGGCGGATCATCGGAAAATGCATAATGGAGGTGGTAAAAGGTGATGTCAGGGCAGCAGCAGGGAACCTGCAAGTTTGTGCTGGCCACCAGGCTGGCGGGGAAGCCGCCATTTACGCCATGAGAACGATATTTGAGCAGTGCGATTGTGAGGCCGTTCTCCTGGTGGACACTTCAAACGCATTCAACATACTTAACTGCAAGGCCACACTGCACAACATCAAGACCAAGTGTCCAAACTTTGCAGTGTATGTTGAAAACTCATATAGGAATCCATCAGACCTTTATATAGTAAGCAACAAGGCTCTAAGAGGTGATACCATCATACAGTCAACCGAGGGAAAAATGCAGGGGGACCCTGTTGCAATGGCAATGTATGCAATAGGCCTATCCATGCTCCAAGACACAATAAAATTTGAAACAACTGAGGTCAAGTAAGTGGCATATGCTGATGACCTTACAGGAGCAGGAAAAGAGGACACCAAAAAGTGGTGGGACCTGGTAACATCACGAGGCCCATAAATAGGGTACTACCCAAACCCCAGCAAGTCCTTCCTCATTGTGAAGCCAGAACATTATGAACGGGTAATGGAGGTGTTCGGTGGAAGTGAGGTCAAAATAACAAAGGATGGCTAAAGACACCTCGGCGCAGTAATCGGCACAACGGACTTCAAGACCGAGTACGTAATAGGAAAGGTGAATCAGTGGGTTAGGGAAATCCAAGCTCTGTCTGAGATTGCTAGCACAGAGCCACATGGGGCATTTGCTGCATTCATCCATGGAGTCAAACATCGCTGGAACTACCTGATGCGCACTATCCCTGATATCGTACCCCTCTTCCACCCTCTGGAAGAAGCAATCAGCGTCAATTTCATTCCCAAATTAGTGAAACACCCTCACTTAACCCCAGCAGAAAGATCACTCCTTGCACTACCACCAAGACTGGGAGGAATGGGATTGACCAATCCAGAGGAGATTGCTGCCACCGAACATCAAAACTCAGTTAAGCTCACGGCAGCCCTCACGGACCACATAAGAGCTCAGAACGCAATAGGGGAGGTGGATACCAGTGAAGTAAACAAGATTCGAAGGTCTATTACGACAGAACGACAGCACAGCCAAAGTGATAAGTTGCAGCAGCTGTTGCTGCAAGTACCAGAGAATTTAAAAAAAAAGTAGTTATAGCGCAGGAGGTGGGCGCCTCGAACTGGTTAACTATGTTACCGATAAGGGCAAATGGTTTCAGTCTCAATAAACAAGAATCACACATGCCAATACTCTAAGGTATGGTAGGCCAGTAGAAGGTTTGCCCTCCCAATGCGTGTGTGGCTCTTCGTATGACATCGATCACACCATGGTGTGCAAGAAAGGGGGCTTCATATGCATGAGGCATGACGAAGTAAGGGATCTCACAGCAAATATGTTGAAGGAAATCTGCCGTGATGTCAGGGTAGAACCGACCCTCCTTCCATTGGACGGTGAGAATTTCCAACATAGGACTTCAAACACATCCAACGAAGTCCGTGTTGACGTCAGTGCTCGAGGATTAAGGACACCGGGACAGCGAGCCTTGTTCGACATCAGGATTTTTTATTCCATGGCCGCATGTCACCGTAACTTAGCTCTCGATGCTGCACACAGGAGGAACGAGAACGACAAGATAAGAGCATACGGGGAGAGAATTCAGAACGTTGATCAAGGCAGCTTCACTCCTCTAGTGTTCACAACCTCTGGTGGGATGGGACCAAGTGCAAGATGCTTCTATGCCAGAATCGCGGAGGTGCTATCCGAACAGAAGCAGCAGCCCAGAAGTTATGTTACAGCCTGGACGAGATGTCAACTGTCCTTCTCTCTCCTTAGGTCGGTAAAATTATTATTTCTGTCATCACTATGTTTTTCCAACGTTTTTTTACCTGTTTTTAATTATTTTGATCTTACCTTACCTAACATAAAGTAACCTAAACCTAACCACAGAACCCAGGAACTATATCTAACCTAACCTAAATTCCTAAAGATTCCCTAAATGACCGAAATGATAATACTGTAATACCATGAAAAGGACCCGTACAAACAGGTCTGACTTACCCACTACTGCCATAATATATAATTTCTTGTTCATAAAATGAACCACCCTAACCTAACTTACTCTAAAATAATTTAGTCTTATTATCATCTTAAAAAAAATCTTGGGTTTATAGTGACGACTGACCCGAGGACGAGTTATTTGTTTTACCGTTTACTTTCTTATTTTATTTTCATCAGTGAGTTCTGATATATTAATAATTTCTTGTGTAAATGCTTTGTTTGGTAGATAATTAGGCACCCAGGTGCACACTACTTTGTCTCTTCAGCGGTAATGCGGCAGTGATGACTCACCCCAAGATGTAAACGGCCAATCATACTGATGTATTTCAAAACACTCCACCACCCAGGCTTGATCAACGCCAGTGCTCAGTGTGTGTGCTTAAGAGCGGACGGCTGCTCTCACGCCCACAAAAAAACATAAAATTACACCATATCATAATAAGTTCTTTCTGTTTAATATACATGGGGGTCCGGGGAGGGAGGGGGGAAGGTGAACCTCCTGGCTTGTAAGGTTAGGCAGGTTTGTTTGGTTAGGTAGGTGAGGTCTTCTAACAACGCTTCTGCTGATTATTTTTCATATCTACTAAGGTTATGTTACGTTAAATTTAGAAATAAACCACTTTTTAACACATTTATACAAATTATGAGTGTCCACTATAAAACATATTAAAATTGCTGCATTTTTATAGTAGTTTTCGATGAAAAATTGGCTGCTGGTCAGTCATCAAATCCTGTACTATATCACACAACATATTCCTCACGCTATTCTTGGTCTTTTCAACAGGTCAAGGCGGTAAATGCTCCTTATTTCCTCCTTTGGTATTATTTTACCTTTAGGACATACTGTAGCACGCCCAAAAGTTATAAACTAATGAAACATTTTAGATCTCCCTATTCTGAGCATTTTTAACTCCATATATACCAGGTGGAAGTGGAAAATAGCAACACAATTGAATTAATTGATTTTACGTACTTTTCAGTCTTCGTCTGTGAGTTGTTATCGGCACATCACGCATGCACAATATTGACTGACATCATCCAACCCCCCGGCCAGGGGTCAAGTTAGGTTAGATGACTTGTTTTAGTTTTCTCCCCCACCCAAAAACCCCGACTTCCCAGGCTCCCCCATTATTGGTGGGGGGTGGGGCAAAAACTATAAATTTCCGACAAAAATGATGGTCAGATTAGCTTAAAACACACCAAAATACACTGGAAAAATATATTGGTCAACTCCTGGTGACTAAATTAATCATCAATGTAATATTGAGTGTAGAGAGACTTAATTAATATAAGTACTGTACAATGTAAAGTCTATCACATGTGTAGTTACAACTGTATTAATTTTGTAGTTTCTCTAATACCGTAATTATAAGAACCCCAATGGAATTAAACTCAATAGTTTTCTTAAAGACCTTCCTTGGATAAATTTATTATTACCATTGTTAACACTAAAACTATCTATGTACTGTATTGAACCAGTGGGCACTTATATGACAATAAATAATAAAACCTCTAACAGGGCGAGTAAGAGGACCATGTACAGGTGTCAGACCAGTAATAACTCACCGCCATTACGTAAGGTAGTACAGTACTTCAACTGATGACTTGTGGTCGTGTTGTTCAGCTGTAGTTTAGCACCGAGATGACGTACTGCCAGAGTTGATCACTAGCGGGGGTTGTTAGGGGGGCCAGGCAGGAATGTTGTCATGTGTGGTCCTCTCCCCAGACCACAGATGGCGCCTGGTAGATCAATATACCCGCCAAGTTATGATCAGGAATATCTTATATTACTTGGCTTTTATTTATAAAGATAATTTACATGAACTGAGATTAACAACAATGAACCAAGATTAGTTCGTTAAAGAGATCAAGGAACTTATTTTAACGAGTAACTTTCTTTTTGGTAGTTTTTCTTTAATTGGGAATTGGAGCGCCTGAACTATTTTTTATGGGCATTAGTCCACCTTGGCTGCCGGGTACAAGGCCTGGGGGACGAATATATACAATAATAATAATAATAATAATAATAATAATAATAACAAAAATAATAATAATAATAATAATAATAATAATAATAATAACAATAATAATAATAATAATAATAATAATAATAATAATAACAACAATAATAATAATAATAATAATAATAATAATATTATTATTATTATCATTGTTATTATTATTAATAAAGGGCCACACAAAATTTTAAGCAATTAAAAAATATCAAGAGTGAGAAATGATACACCACTGTATGTATGTTGTGTTGTCAAAGTAAGAGAAACAATTGAGACCCTACAATTGTGTGTAAATGAGGCAGAAACTCATATCAGCAACCTGGGCTGGGTCACAATTTTTGTGATGCCATACAGCAGCAGGGTCTACCATTAGACAACACATTAAGCTTCCAATATCTTCCCAGGCTATAGTACCTCCCTGTTTGATAGCTGCCTGCTACCAACTACCTAGCTTCTACTACAGACGGGCAAGGGGAGACCTAATTGAGGTGTATAAGCATATTGTAGTGGATTTCTCCCCTACAAACGCTGTTTGTCGCTGAGTAGCCGACCCCACCAATTCCCCAGTGTATGCCTCGTGGTCTAGGTCAACCTGCGCCGCCATACATCACGGAGCGGGGGTCAACTACTAAGCCACGCCTACCCCCCGCTATTTAAGACCTGACCTCATGGTGACCGCTCTCTTTCTACCTACACCAACCAGCCAGCAACACCTCCTCCCCCTGCCTGGCGGCCCTCGCTCCCGCCGGCGAGCATGGCGACCCACAAGCTGGTCCTCCTCTGAGCATCCTCACCAACCAGCTCTCTCTACATCACGTTTGTAACCATGCTGCCTTCCCAGCACCAAGCTGCATTGTACATCCAATACAACATGTATACAGAGAGCACATTGTGAGATTCCTTTCTCCATTCCATCCTGAGTGTGAACCAAACATCTTGAACCCCACAATATTAAAGGGCACTATTCAGTCGAGTGCCCTTAACTGGAGCTGGCAGACGCTCGCCCCACAAGGGTTCAGCTCAAGGTTGAAGTCGAAGAAGCCACATGCCCACAAAACTGTGAGGGGTAACTTTTTCAGAGTTAGAGTTGTGAACTCTTGGAACAATCTGCCAGAGAGTGTTGTGATGGCACCGAGTGTGAGCACTGGAGCAAGTTCAGATACAATTAGGAGCCGGTGCATGCCCAGTACTTGCCAGCAGTGCGTAACAGAGACGTGACGATCGCTCAAGTGGCTTGCTTTTACTTTTTACTTTTATTTCTTTATTTTTAACATTTATCCTCTTCGTCACTGATCGGCTCGTTATCCGCTTCAGCGATCGGTCACGTCTCGATTACTTTTCCTTTTCATTTATCCTCTTCACCAAAAGATCGGCTCGCTAGCCGCCCGGGCGATTGGCCACGTCTCTGTCACACAGTTGGCAAATACTGGGCATGCACCGGCTCCTGAATGTACCTGAACCAGCTCCAGTGTTGGTCAAGTCTTGTCTTGAAAGAGCTCACACTCGGTGCTGTCACAACACTCTCTGGTAGATTGTTCCAAGCATTTACAGCTCTCACTCTGAAAAAGTTACCCCTCACAGTTTTCTGGACTTGCGGCTTCTTCAATCTTGAGCTGTGACCCCTTATGGGGCGAGCGTCCGCCAGCTCCAAGTAAGGACACTCGACTGAGTAGTGCCCCCTGAGATGCTTATACACCTCAAGTAGGTCACCCCCGAGCTGATCAGTGGTGAAGAGGATAAAAGTAAAGTAAATTTAAAGAGTACTCTACTGTATTTAGCTACACACTTCTTGAATCAAATAGGGGTGATAAGACACAAGTTCATAAAATTGTCACTTTTTCGGAGTGAGAGTTGTAAACTTTTTGGACAATCTGCCAGAGAGTGTTGTGGCGGCACCGAGTGTGAGCTCATTCAAGATCGGCTGACGAGCCGATCAGTATCGAAGAGGATAAAAGTACAAAAAGTAAAAGTAACATGTACGAGTTACATTATTATCGATAATACTACTTAAGAACAGTAATAAGCTTGGAAGATTAACCATACTCATTTCCATTGTGGATCCTGATTAATTGCTTATTTATCTTGTAGTGGATTTCTCCCCTACAAACGCTGTTTGTAGCTGAGTAGCCGACCCCGCGAATTCCCCAGTGTATGCCTCGTGGTCTAGGTCAACCAGCGCCGCCTTACATAACGGAGGTCAACTACTAAGCCACGCCTACCTCCGCTATTTAAGACCTGACCTCGTGGTGACCTAGATCTTCTTCTAGCTACAGCTGCAGCAACCAACACCACCAACCCCACAAATGGTGACCCCCGGAGTGACCACTCACACAGGATGGAGGAGAAACAGATCATGCTCCCAGTCTTCAAGCAACATGGAAGACTGGCTTATCCACACAGAAGCAGCTCTCATCGGCTCTACAGCTACTGTCTCTAAACCGCAGGTTAGACACCTTAGAGAAGCACTGCTTCTCTAAGCAGACACCAGCTCCTCTTCCTGCCCCAAGCACCACGTCCTACCGACCCCAGCACACCCGTCCTGCATCAGACGCCGCCCCCAGCCCAGCAGTACCCCTGCCGCTCCTCCTGATGCAGCCCCTGCTCCCGACGCAGCCCATGCGCCTGAGTGCGTACCCACACACCCCTCTTTTCTCCCTCAGGTACTCCCTGCTACTGTCCTGCACCCTGCTGCTGCCGTGGACCCAGCTGCTGTCACGAGCCCTTATCCGCTTCTGCTGACGCAGCCCCTGCTCCTGACCCAGGCCTACACACCCCAGCAGGCGCATCTGACGACTCTGTACCTGCCGTGAGGGAAGCACAACATTCATCGCCTCCACGCACCCTTTTTCTCCCTCTCTACTCTCACAGATATTGTGTATCTAGACAGTTGTCTCCTCTAGCGGCCGGCTCATCTACGCCCTCGCCGTTATGTCTCACATGTGGCATGCACCACCCGTTCTGCCTCACATGTGCCATGCAACCCTGCAGACAACAAGTCTCCTACACCGCCTGGAGGGAAGGAGGGAGCATTGTAGTGGATTTCTCCCCTACAAAAGCTGTTTGTCGCTGAGTAGCCGACCCCGCGAATTCCCCAGTGTATGCCTCGTGGTCTAGGTCAACCAGCGCCGCCTTACATGACGGAGGTCAACTACTAAGCCACGCCTACCTCCGCTATTTAAGACCTGACTTCGTGGTGACCTCTCTCTTCTTCTAGCTACAGCCGCAGCAACCAACACCACCTCCTCCGCCGCTGCCTGGTGGCCCTCGCTCCCGCCGGCGAGCATGGCGACCCACAAGCTGTCCTTCTCTGAGCACCCTCACCTACCAGCTCTCTCTACATCACGCTTGTAACCACGCTGCCACTTCCCAGCACCAAGCTGCACTGTACATCCAATACAACATGTATACAGAGAGCACATCGTGAGTTTCCTTTCTCCATTCCATCCTGAGTGAGAACACAAAACACCACGTACCCCACAATCTCTCCCCTGACAATGATGCAACAGCAGTGTGCATTTGGATTGGAATAGCAATGAACTTGTCCCAAAATCTCATGAAATATTTTGCCACAAGTTAGGGTTGCAAGATCTTTAACAATGTTTTCATTCAAGTGAAAGTCCTTAGAAGGCTGTAGCGTAGTGTATGTGGCCAGTAGTCAACTTTCTCTTTCTTAGGCCCACATACACAGGACAAAGAGGAGATCTCGCTCTCAGGATGGAGGCGAGGAAGGAAACTCACAATAACGTTCTCTTTACATATATTGTATGTACAGTGCAGTAAGATGCAGGCGAGTTGCTGTGTTGTAGAGAAGCTTGTTGAGAGGAAGTCTTGCTGGTTTGAGAGCTCTGAGTAGAATACCCTTCACTTGGCTTTGGAGTTATGAGTTGACTCCAAAGCCAAGGCAGGGGGGGGTATTTATATGATTCTCCCTATTTAAGGTCCAGAGATGCAAGATGAAAGGCGCCGCTGATTGGCTGAGGTGAGGACGGCAACTGGTTAATCAGCGAGCAGTTCAGGAGCGGGGGCTGTGGTATGGAACTCGCTGCTGATTGACTGAGGAGAAGACGGGCACTGCAGGAAACGTGTTGTAGACAGGGTTGTATCCCACGTACGAGACATAGCGGGCAGGGGTGTGAACCAATCGACTGCTACGAGTGACGACTCAGTCGAGTGACACAAAATCTGTGGGAGAAGCAGCGGGAGAAGCATTGGGAGTAGGGTTGTAGATATGAGAAGGTTGAACGGTGGGAGGAACAGGCGAGGGATGTGGTTCTTCTCTGGCGGCAGGTGTAAAGTCCACGGGGGTGCTGGGTGGGATGTTTGGGTCCATAGAACCAGGTGCAGGATCCTCATCAGGAGCAAGATCAGGAACAGTAGCTACCTGAGAATGAAAAGAGGGTACATAGAAATGTTGTGGACAAGGTGGTGCTGCAAGTGGCAATGATGGGCAGACTGGTGCAGGCGTGGTTTGTTGGGGGTAATGCTGGGCTGGGGGCCCATCGGGTAAGGTGGCCGGCTTCACTCGATCGATGCTGACTGTGTCATGTCTGCCATTGAGATTGATCGCCAAGAACTTCGTTGACCATGCAAGCACCAAGAAGGGTCCATCGTAGGGGCGTTGAAGTGGTTTGCAGTGAGCATCGCGCCTGATGAAGACATACTCGCCGTTGAGTAGTACAAGAGGGATGTGTTCAGGGCAAAGAGTAGGCTGGCATGGGGCAGTAGCCTTGAATGCAGAAACTGCCTGTCGTAGTGTTTGCAATAGGTCGTGATGGACAGCAGGAGTAAAGTGGTCAAGGTCAGGAGTAAGTGAGAAGTCCCTGGGTAGGAGAAGGGGTTCGCCTTGGGTGAGATCTGCTGGGCTGCAGTCCTTGTCCTCTTTGTGTGTTGCACAGATGTCAAGGAGCCCTAAGGGTAGAGCATCCGTCCAGCTGTAGAGGTCATGCTGTGCCTCAATGGTGTCCTTCAGCTGACAATGAAACCGCTCTACCATGCCGTTGGACTGAGGATGGTAAGCGGTTGTGGTGCCGAGGAACTGCAGGAGACTATGCTAGAGTTGTGACTCAAACTGGACTCCTCAGTGGGTGATGAAAGTCGTGGGAGGACCAAAACGAGAGACCCAACCAGACAGGAAGGCGCGGACGGCTGACTCTGCTGTAGCATTTGGTACGGGAATGGCTTCTGTCCACCTGGTGAAACAGTCAATGCAGGTGAAGATGTAGGTGTTGCCGCAGGATGCTGCGTCGTTTTCTTGAGCCGCGGTGAGCTGTCTGTAATCCATGGGTGGAGATGAGTGCAGAATGCTGGCTATACAACGAGAGAGTGTCGGCGATCTCTTTGTGGCTGCCCTGAATTGACGTGTTGGATGTCGCTGGTGAACTCCGAGATGTAAGCCAAGTGACGAAGAACACAAAGTGTGTGTGTCTCAGAGGCTGAAGCAAAGGTGTGGACTAGGGGTTTGTTATTGATGAAGATGGTGAACTGACGAGCCTCGAGGAAGTGCTGGAAATGCTTGACAGTAAGATATATGGCCAGGAGCTCTTGATCAAAGGCGCTGTACTTGAATTGAGGTGGCTTAAGCCGCTGTGAGAAGAAGGCAATGGGCATGAGAGTTCCGTTGAGCTCTTGTTGTAAGATGGCACCCACGGCAGTAGAAGAAGCGTCTGTTGTGAGAGTGGTTCGGGCGTTGGGGGCAGGGTGAGCCAGCAGGGTAAGGCGTGTGATGTGCTGCTTGATATTGTTGAAGGCTGCAAAAGCCTCTTGAGTCCATGTGAGAGGCTTGTGAGATGTCTTGGGGAGTCCTTTGACAAGATCATGGAGAGGAGCGAGGATGCAGGTTGTCCAGGTTGCCATGTAGTGGATGAAAT